GCATCTTCTTCTGTAAATGTATTATTTTTCCTCCTCCCTTAATTTCTCATTTTCTGTGCTTAATTCAGCAGTTTCCTGCTAACTTCAGCTGTTTTCTGCCTCTTTAGTTACTGTTTTTCAGCTAATGCAGCTTTTTCCAAGCTAAATTCATCTTTTTATAATTTCATCTGCTTGTGGCTTAATGCAGCAAACATGGTTTTTTCCAGCAACTTTTTTGCTAATTTAAACTTTTTAGGCTTTTTTCAGCAGCTTCCTAATTTCAGCTGTTTTCTGCCCATAAAGCGACTAGCTGCGAATAGCTTTTTATTTTCAGCTAATTTAATATTTTTGTGATGATTTCAGCTTTTTGTTGCTTAATTCAGCAATAAGTGCTCTTTCAGCCTTATTTGACTAATTTAAGCTTTTCTGCTACTTTTTAACAATTTTTCAGTTAATTTCAGCTGCTTTGGCTTCATTAAAACAAATTAAAACTTTTTTCTAATTGTTCACCTTTATTTTCTTACTTTCAGCAAACGTCAGCTGTTCAAATTAAACTCACATTAAACGGTTATGCCAATAAACATTTTCTGCTTCTTCAGCTACTTTCAGCAGAAATCTTTAGCATTAAAGTGACGTCATCTGGATTTCCAGCTCTTTATTTAAAAAGGGAAATTCTCAAGCTTCATGATAAAACCAACATTAAATGAAGGGATTTCCTGAGGCTGAAATAACTGATCAATTTTAAAAAAAAGCTAAAAAAATTAATATAAATATTTCTGAGGAAATATCTGTTAGAAAACTTCCATTTAAATGTGGATTAGGAGGAGTATTTTAGCTCTTCGGGTTACTGGTATTGTTAAATGGTGTCACGGCAAAAATCAGTTATTTCATGTAGTTTGCTTATTCTGACTGACTTTGCAAAAACCAGTCACATTTATACATACATTTAAGTTTTATTANAGTTTATTCTTCTCTTTACTTCCTGTTTTCCTCTAAAGATATGAAGGAAAACAGGTGAGAAATGAAATAATTCACCTGGTTTGTTTTCATCTTGTTCATCATTTATTCAGTGAACACCTAGTCACTGAAAAATAAAAACACGAAAAAATACTTTAAAAAATTTAAATCCTTTTTCTCCAGCTGCTCATTGGTTAGGACATTCAGAACTAACTTTGGATGGATTCTGTTATATGTAGTATTTTATCACATATTCAGGTATAAAAGAATAAACACAGCTGCAGGTTTATAACAAACAGGTTAAAAACAGTTTTCTGTGAAACACTGACTTCCTCCTGAAAGTTGTTTAACTCGTTCCCATCAGCTGCAGTGAGAATCTGTATTTATTATACAAAGAACAAAAATATTCAAAMTATTTCATCTGAACAGTTTTCCTCTTTTGTCTTCACAGAATTTAAAATGGAAGAATTTCATGAAGAAGTAAAAGCAACGACTCATCTCAACTTCTTCTGGACTTTTTCCTTTTCTTTCCTCAAAGAGTCTGAAAGAAATAAAAATAATCTGGGTTTAATTATTAAAATACATCGCTTCACTTGTTAAGTTTTAGATTTTTACTGTGATCAAGGTGCAAAGATGAAGCTGTGATTGGAAATATTAATAAAGCTGCACTGTCCCTGTAATAAATAAATAAATAAATAAATAAATACGTTTCAGGAGTTATTGTTTCCAGCACTTTGCAGTAAAACCAGATCAGGTTTGCTGTAAACAGGACAGTTTAAAGACTGAAAACAACCTTTATTTACAAAGAGAAGGATCTTGTTTGGTTTTAAACGTGATTATGAGGCAAGAAATGAAGAGTTGAGACATAAACTGATCATTAAATCATCTGGATGTTTTCTGATGACAACTAATGATTGACGAGATGAAAAACCAAACCCTCCACAGCATCCAGAGATACGCCTGTCAACAAATACACAACAATCTACCTACTGGTACTACCTACTGATACTACCTACTGGTACTACCTACTGATACTACCTACTGATACTACCTACTGATACTACCTACTGGTACTACCTACTGGTACTACCTACTGGTACTACCTACTGGTACTGACTGTCTTCAAGCAGGAGGAGCTCTGAGCAACATTTTGTTCTAAAAGATAATAAAGATATATAAAGATGAATAAAATCAGAAACATTTCAAGGCTTTAACCTTGGTTTTATGGCCACAGCAGATATTTGTCACATGACCGTCCTCAGCGTGGTGTCACTGCTCATCACTTGGAGACTTTTTGTGATGATATTATCTTTCCAAGCCTCACCAACCTGTTCATCAGATCTGTGTTGTTCAGCTCCCTGATAAACACTGAGGATCAATTTATTCACTTATCTTCTGTAAGAAGATAAAGTCTGAACAAACAGACTCTGACAGGCCTATAATTACAAACAGTATACAGAGACTGGTGTATGTCACATGTTTACCTGATTGTACCAGGTACATGCATAGTACTTATCAGGTAAGTAAGTAAGGAACAAAATAGTACAACAGAGCATAAAAACATATAAATGAAGCCAGTGTTGTATAAAGTACCTCAAAGTGATACTTGAGTAAAAGTACAAGTATCTTATCA